GACTTAGGGCATACCTGCTTTCCTAGATAAAACATGCAAACTAATTGCGATTGCAACGTGAACTTAGAAAAAGACTAGTAAGAATTTACAACTGTGAATTACTCAGAATTGATTGACAGTTCAGACGAACCTATGGCCACAGACTACGGAAACCTACAGTATTATTGTATTAGTATACTGTATTTGTATTATTGTGTTACTAGCAGAGTACCCGTCCTTCGTACGGGGTTGGCATATAAGTATAAATGCTTATTGTAGTTATGGGAGAGGACACAATTAAAAAAAAACTGGTCTTTTAATTTATACGGTATCCTATTGTGTAGCACACATCTACCATAGTCCTGATGTTCTTCCACTGCACCTAAACTATGGAAAAAAGTAAAGTTCTCATTGTGTACCACAACTTTTTGCTAGTTGGTTCAAATTAGCTGTGGTCATTAATGCAAACAAACAACATAATAGTGCTGCACCCTGTTTGGCAAGCCTTATAACTTTTTAATGCTGTTTAATATCAAAGAACCATAACCAACTTGTACAGTTGAAACGGCTGACAAAATTCTTTAATTTCTTTAAATATGAATACTCATAAGGTTAACATGAGAAAGTCCAGAGCCAGAGCCACCGGGGCGGAGACTGAAAGAATATTTGAGGTAAGAATATGTTAATCGGGGATGTCATCTATCATCATACCAAATTTCAACCTTGTCGGTTTAGTATTTTTCGCGTTTGCTTGTCACAAACATCCATCCATCCATCCATCCATACATCCATAAATCCATGGTTTGCACTGTAAACAAAAAGCTATCACAATAATAGTTCCAAACCGACAAATAGAAAAAATAGGAAAATATAATTAAATATGGAAAATAGGGTAATTTTCTAACATATTTTAGTGAAGTTATATAAGCAGGCAAATGGAAATTCAGTCTACAGATTTGCTGTGGCTGGGGGATTAGCCTATATTACGGTTTACACAAAAATAAATCAAAACATAAACCTCATAACACTCAGGAAAAGGGCCTAGGTTGATAGGGCAATGATTATAGAATCTTAATTATTTCCTATATCCATGATGAATGATTTCTTTTAAAACGAATTATTCCCAGTAAAATATTATTACAGAATTTCACAAAAATAGAACAGACTATTAATAAGTATAATCTACTAGCTGTAACCCGCGGGCTTTGCCCCGTTTAACTTGTTCTTAATTTTCAAGATTATCTCGTTCGCATGGCTCAATCACGTCCTGATGGTTGAAGTTTATTCGCTACGCTCACTCACCTTTAGGTTGGAGCTCGTTCGCTGCGCTCACTTGCCTTCAGGTTAGCTCGTTCGCTACGCTAACTCGCCTCCAGGTTGAAGTTCGTTCGCTACGCTCACTCACCTTTTGGTTGCAAATTAACTGTTGTCATAAATGTAAAAGAAATAATAGTGCTGCACCCTGTTGGTAATCCTTGTAACTTTAATGCTATTGAACATCATAGAACAGAACCAACTTGTTTAATTGAAACAGCTGTTAAGATTCAATGATTCCATTTCTCATAAGGTTAACATGGGAAACTCCAGAGCCACTGGGGCGGAGCCCGAAAGGATTTTTGAAATAAGAATATGCCTATATGTTAATCGGAAATGTGAGCTATCATCATGCCAAATTTCAGCCCAATCCGACCAGTATTTTTTGCGTTCACTTGTCACAAACATACATCCATACATCCATACATCCATACATCTAAACTTTCTCATTTATAATATTAGTAGGATATATATAAAAGCCAAAGCCCTCACTGACTGACTGACTGACTAACTCACTCACTCACTAATTATCCCACTTCCCATTTACCTAGGAGGCTGAAATTTGGTACACTGATTCTTTAGACATTAAATAGGAAAACTAAGCTGTTTTTATTCTGATCGGACTCTCGGGCACCGCCCCAGTGGCTCTGGAGTTTCCCATGTTAACTGTAATTAATTCAAAATGCAAATTGAAGACAAATGATTAGAGATATTTAATGCTGTAACAAACTAACATTCACTACACATCAGAACAATAAAACTCACTAGTAAATATTATTTTCTCCATGACAACCAGAATCAATAAAAATCATCTAAAGATAAACAAGTAAAAATGTCCACAATATCAAACAGCTGATAACTAATTTATATCACAAGCACATTAACCTTAAGAGTACTCATATTTAAATGGAATTAATGAATCTTAACAGCTGTTTCAATTAAACAAGTTGGTTCTGTTCTATGATGTGCAATAGCATTAAAGTTACAAGGATTACCAACAGGGTGCAGCACAATTTTTTTTTTTTATGACATCAGCTAATTTGCAACCAAAAGGTGACTGAGCGTAGCGAACGAACTTCAACCTGGAGGCAAGTTAGCGTAGCGAACGAGCTAACCTGAAGGCAAGTGAGCGCAGCGAACGAGCTCCAACCTAAAGGTGAGTGAGCGTAGCGAACGTACTTCAACCAGGACGTGATTGAGCCATGCGAACGAGCTCACTTGTGAAGTTAAACGGGGCAAAGCCCGCGGGTACAGCTAGTAGATCATAAACATAAACAAATGAAGTAACTGAAAGAATCATATACTAATGAAATTACATTAACATATGGTTTGACAGCTACATTTAAGTAATGTAAAATAATGATTACATTCGGGCTAGTAACATCATTATTTTAAATTTATAATCCTTACGGTACCCTCTCTGTTCTAATATTCGTGCATTATTTAATATGTTTGAACCAGCTGTGTGGAATTGTGAAATCAAAATTCATTTGACAGTTAGTTCTGGTTGTTTACATTTTTAAATTATATAGGTTTGCTCTTGTTACCATGGATACCATCAATCAATATTTTAAAATCTCTCGCATCAAATTTTTTAAAGCCCACGGGGCAGAGCCCTAGGACAATAACGAAGAGGGAATAGTTGTATAATATGTATCCTCGCAGCTGTAGCTTCATTTGCGTGCAAAAATTTGAGCCCAGTCGGTTCAGTACTGGATAAACCTTTTTGAATTCGTCATATTATAAGTATATGGAAATTCATATATCTGTGTATCAATATCTACTTATCTCATTTCTGTTCAATGGAAGTTATACAATTTCAATGATACCGGTACTTAAATGGGAAGTCTTACAGCTGTTAGAACACTGTGCATACATTTTATCTTACGAGTAAATTTGCTACCAATTGATATAGTATGACAATTCTATTCTACTGCAGTACTTAGAATTTTACCACTACTCACATTAAACCTACCATATTTACTTTTGGGCTAGTGATTAATTTATTGTATTAATCATACAATATAGTGAATAGTGTAGTCATTTATTTATTTCGTTTCTATGACATAGCTCTATTTTGTAGAAATCAATTATGCAATCATAACAACAGAAATACTGCATCATTACATTTTACGGTGACATAGTATTTATTTTACATATAAAAATTTAAGCTAATGCAATAATTAGTTCAATTAGAATCATTGAATATTGAATAATTTAAACATTAATCGAAGACGAAGCGGTTGACAACTTTCAAACAGTTGACTAGGCCTAGTTGCCTTCAATAATTGCAATGCGAACTGTATGCACTGAGGTCGGCAAACAGTGTTCAAAGTGTGCAGGCACTTTGGACGTCGTGGCACTTGGACGTCGTGCAACAGTCAAATATTGATTGGACGTCGTGGCACTTGGACGTCGTGCAACTGGCAGAGGCTTTGGACGTGGTGCAAATGATACTTCTTTACAATTCTACAGTGCGCTGTTTCACGACGTCCAAGTGCCACGACGTCCAAAGCTTGTAGAAAGACTATATTTTTGGCAGTTACTGTACTTTTGGACGTCGTGCAACAACTCAAAAATTATGTTTTGGACGTCGTGGCACTGGAAAAATATTATTGGACGTCTTGGCACTTGGACGTCGTGCAACACTCCCCCAGATAGGAGGGAATGACGACAGAACAGTGGCTCCGTGCCATGACTACTTTCATGTAGTCCATTATCCTCTTGTCAAACAACGTCAGGGAACTGTGCCATGCAATTCATGCATGTTGAGTTTCCTTATTGTACAAATTATTTAATGAAAATTAGGAAGAACACGGTGATCTCAGCAATGTGGTAAAGTGTGAGAAATGTTTGCTCAGTTGCAAAACATTATTATTCCCGGTGCAACTGCGTTATGAGCATTCACCCGAAGAAACGGAAGCATTCTAGCCTATCTGATGAGGTATTTATTGATCATAGGCACTTTCATGCAGATTTCAAATTTTTATAGGCCTATATTATTTTTAGTTTTAACTTACTTACCTCCTGAGTCCTAAATCATCATAACTTTTAACACAAAAGAGTATTACTATCTGATTAAATTTATAAACTTTTTGGAGGTCTTGTCATTGACAGAAGGCCAAATGGCGTCACTTCACTGCGCTGCTGACTTAAATGAAAGTGAGGTGAAGAAGGTTTAAGAGATATGATAAGAAGATTAAAAATTAATAGCCCGTCAGTGAACAAAAAATTATATTAGGAACCTACTTTTCTAAAGTGAGCTATTACCGGTAGCTTTTCTGGTACGGTAGTCAATAATGTTTCCTTTAAAGAAAATGTTTGTGTCATTACAGGGATATAAATGGACCGGCTGACTAATTACACGTAGTCCTTATTTAGGCATGGGAGGATGGTAGAAGGCATCAAACATGTGGTACACTCACCTAAAAAAACAGTACACATCTGTTCTAGAACGCAAACTTAACCAAACATAATCTAACCAAATCCTATATATAAGATGGTAGCCTATAGGTTAAATATGATTACCCCCCATTTGTTTTAGTTGCACTACGCATTTTAACTAGTATTTTTCTATCTAAATTTAAGTAATTGTGTAAACATTAATTTACTTTGAGTCTCATGTGTCAGTAATCTAGAAATTTACCTTTTGAACATCTGGATATGGGCCCAAATGTTATGTGAACTAAGTTAAGTGGTTGTTACAGATCGTGACCATGAGTCCAAAGACAGAGAGAGGGAGAAGGACCGTGACAAGGATAAGGACAAGGACAGAGATAGAGATAGAGACCGCAGACATCGCTCAAGATCTCGTGATCGTAGGAAACGATCCAGAACTCGAAGTCCACGAGACAAACGGTCACGCTCTAGGAGCCGAGACAGACATCGCAAGCGCTCTAGGTCCACGTCGAGAGACAAGAAGCCACAAAAGTCTCGCAGGCGCAAGGCTTCGTTGTATTGGGATGTTCCTCCTCCTGGCTTCGAGCACATTTCACCACTTCAATACAAGGCCATGCAGGGTAGGTTGATTTTTCCACTACAGTATCTTGTAATGAGAATGAGGGACTTAAGAGTTTGTATTTATAGGGGTGTGCGATGCATCGAAAATGCATCGAAATTTCGATTCGATTCGATTCGATGCATCGAATCGCGATTCGATTCAGTGGTGGTCAAAAAACGATTCGATTCACGAGGGAGTCAGTATCCATATACGAAAAACGCCTGCAGAAAGTCAATGCAATACCCGCAATACAGGAGCGCGTTGCTGTTGCGTTTCCTTTACGAAGGCGTTGTTGTTTAATACATTCTTTGCATTAAATATAGCTTTAATTGTTTTATATTTTTTTGTTTTGACATTGCAAATGATTAGAGGTTTTGTTTTTTGTCTTGATGTAAGCAGTGTGTGAAATATTTTACTACTGTGAACCTAGCCAAAACAAGGTAGGTTACTCCAAAATCATGTTAAAAATAAGTCTGAAAAATTGTTACTTAATACTTAACTAGTAAGATCAATGTTATAGACTGATACATTTGGTATTTTTGTTAGGTGTCTGTCGGTCCCCGTCCCCGAATTTTTGTTGGGGCAAAAGAAAAAAAAGAATAATTTATTTCCAAAGAAACTCTCTTATATTATTATATCTATTACAGAGGAATTAAAATGTTCAAATGAGAATTAAAAATTAAGTTGGCTCACGACCTTTAAGAATAAAGACACAACAGAGCAATTGCCGCACTGCCACTAGCCAGAGCCAGGTCTAGTCGTCTACTGATAAGAGTAACAAGACAAAAGCCGTGATGCAACACTAACAGTGCAAAGAAAACAAAGTCAAAAGAATAGAAAGACTATTTATCCAGACATACTAGTATAATCATTTAATGTTCATTCAATACCTAATTAAAAATATATTTTAGTATTTTACATAATAAATTATAAACAAAAGAAATATCTGATATAGTGAACAGATCTGTATCTTGGTTAAATAGGGTTAAAAAAATATATTTCTAAGATCCAATACAATATTTACAACTCACAAATTACATTGAATTAATTTCTTTGAAAATAATCTCTAACAGTTTTGTGTTTTTGAATAAAGAAATATATTTCTTTGTCTCTACTTCCTTGTTTCATCACTTGCATTTTGTCAGCAATTGAAGCAACTGGGTAGCAACCGGGTGGTGTAAGAGGGGAGGGGGAGGGTCTATGACCTTGAATTCACACATCGTTGCCCGGGCCTGGCTGGTGAGACTGATTCATTGTTTTTGTTGACATACTACTACCCTTCCTTAAGAGAAAAAGGCCCTGCTGTTCCAAAAACATTGAGGGTAGTTTAAAAACATTGACCTGTGTTGCCAAGGGCACTAGAAGATAGCATTTAACTTTCTTGTCTCTTGATTTAATATTATTTTAATCTTCTATATATTATTTAAGAGTTACTTTTCGGGTACCTAATTAGTTGTGATATTGTTTAGCTTCATTTTATGGATTTTTAATTCTTTTCATTCATTAGCTATCAAAATCAGTTGTTTTAGGATTTTAATCTCTTGCAGTACCGGTAGGTCTATACTACTGTATGACATGATATGCATTTTTTAGTCCTTATTAATTATACCATAAACAATGTTTGTATGTTATTTACTGTTTTTGAGTTTTATAGGAAATTAGTTTACACAATATCTTTTCTTCAATGAGTTCTCCACTTGACATGTTGCTTCTAGCCTATTACTATTTTAGGCCCTATAAAAATAATGCCTATGTAAAGCTGTAGGCCTACTGATGCCAATAATAATTCTTTATTGTTGATGATGTAACAAATAATGTAAGTGTGAGGTTATTATATTAAGGAGGTTAGGAGGCAGGGAATGAATGATACATGTTGCATGGTGGAAACATATTATTTTTATTTTCTTCTTGCTTGCAGTCCTGAAGCCAGTCCACAGGCCCTAAACTTGTGATATGTAAATTTATTTCTTAATGGTCTTTTTATATTAAGTTCCATTCAAATTTGTTGTAATTTAGCTACCGGTACCTATTTAGTTATTTAAACAGTTATTAAAATGAGAATGAATGTCTTGATAAAAAAAATATTTTCTTCTTTCTTGCAGTTGAGCCAATTCCAAGTAAAAATTATGAAATAGGCAAGTAAAGCAGCTCACTGGTATTTCCAGCTGTTATTCTAATACATATGATTGAAAATAAATATTTTTTCACCTAAAATTCATATGTAAGTATGAATAGGCCTAATACCACATCAACAAAAATTTGTATTACACAAATGTGATAAATTTTAATTATTGTTAATCCACTCAATTGACAATTATGAATAAAAAAATACCGTATTGCTTCGAATCGAGTTGCATCGAATCGAATCGAAAATCTTTTGAATCGAATCGTTGCTTCGAATCGAAAATTTTTTGCTGCTTCGCACACCCCTAGATTTAAGTTATGTAATATATTTTACTATTAAATTGGTAGACCCAAAGACATAAAACATGGATAGGCTAAATGTTAATCTTTTATAAATACCTGGTAATTATAAAAAAACATGACGATCCAGCTTCCAGTTATAAACACATTTTAATTTTGTATTTTCCCTTTAAGGCTCCTTTTATGAACCAGCGGTCGTCACAGCTGCTGCATTTCTATAAGTACATTTGATTACAGCTGGTTCATATAGACAAGATGCCTACGTCAGTATGCAAAAGTCCATTGTAGTATTTACAATCTTCTATCAGAATAAAGCTTAGGGGCTATTATTATATTAATGTGTTAAAAAACATTATATTAGGTCTCGTTCTCATTTTCCTTGCAGGCCTAATGATTAAACAATAACATCCATTATGCATTTATGTGTAGCCTAAATGATGTGAGAATGATATAGCCTACTTTTGATAATGTTTTTGTTATAGCTTCGAAGCCTACTTTTGATATTTTCAAAGTTCTTTGTGCCTAATAGTGATCAAAAACGAATCTAAAATCTTCAAAACCACCAATACTTTGGAAAAGGTTTTAGTTATTGATGGGCTGATTCCAGAATCAGTCGATTCTGATACCGATTCCGATTCCAGAACTTTAGTTTCGGTTCTCGATTACATACTCAATCCTGATACCTGTTATAAATTCACTTAATAGCTCATATATGAGTGTTTATCGCTACCCTTATGAATAAAAGATCATGTTGTTTTATCTTTTTACAATAAGATAACTGCATTGCTATTGATTAAGGTACATACATTAAGTTAGCCTATAGGCCTAATGAAAATAAGATACTTCAAGACATACAAGTCATTTTAATACCATTTTTAACAAACTTGTTAAATTAATTTTATACAACAAACACCGGTTCCTCCTAATGAAGTCTGGTTCATGCCTTCAACATACTTCTCTGGCTCACCTACACATAGATCCAGAGCAGATTATTTTATTTTTTAGTCTACTTGTGTTAGGAAAATTAGTACAACTATGTTCACTTACATTTTAGATTACTATTTACTTGATATTCACATTTTGTTCATCAGGATCATCAATAAATTCCTCTCATTCTGAAGTAGGCCTATCCAGTTCTTCATAGTCTGGAACATATTCTTCCCCACCACTAGAAGTCTAACAATGATTCTACTGACTGATTTTGTCCTAGCCTATATCAAAGTCATCTTCAATATTGTCATCGTCAAAGTCACTTCAATTACTTAAAGAATCACGTAAAAGGTCTCTTATATCACCAAAACGGTGATCGCACGGCCACCTTTAACGAGATTGTCACCCATTTTTGAACAATTCACTATGAACATAGCAATCAACTCAACAACAAAACAATTTGCCATCCGCAACAGAAACTCACGAGCCACGACAGCTGTTTCAGAAACAACGAAGTATGTTTATAGTCAAGGCGGTTTTACACGGGTAGAGTTGTTGGTAGTTTGGAGTTTATAGTAGAGCTACTTTCTTGCCCACTCTACCGATTTTAAGCAAACGACTGTTCACACATAGTAGAGTGTTGATAATTTGTGAACTGTGTGTTCCTCCTCCTTTCCCAAAATGAGTGTTCCTCTTCTTTCTGCAACAATGTCACACTGTCATCCGTGGTTCTGATTTGGGGATTTACATTAGCTGACTTCAGAGTATTCCAAAATAATAAACTGATGATGTGCCATTAGTTACAACCTTCAATGTTAGTGAAATTAACCCCCTTTTTCAGAATCGGTATTGTATATAATGAAGCAAAGTATCGAGGATTGGGGACTGTTGGTATTGAAAATCGGAATCGGCCCATTCCAAGTTTTAGTTTGTGATTAAATGGGGAAGTTTTTAGACTCATAACCTAGAATTGATTCTATTAAGCATTGATCTCCTTTTCAAGTCATTATATCAGTGTCAAGAGTCCATTTTCTTTTAGTTTTGATTGAGATTGAATAATAAAGTACATTTTTGCAACGTCGACCAAGTTTTCCCTAGGCCTATAGGTTTTGAGATTTGAAATTTGAAATTTTAAAAACTAATAGTGTTTTACAAAAATATTTCACAAGGTATTGATTGTAAAAGTTGTACGCACCTTTATCACCTAATGTATATATGTTTTACTATTTGTACATTTTATGGGTTAAAAGCCCACTGTTGATATTGTTTATAAAAGGTAGTAGTATGCCCATTTCCTCCCTCAGCTGCCGGCCAGATCCCCGCCAACATCGTGGCTGATACCCCACAAGCCGCAGTGCCCGTGGTGGGCTCCACCATCACAAGACAGGCACGACGACTCTACGTTGGCAACATACCTTTTGGTGTCACTGAGGTAAGGCCTTTATTTGAACCTCATTGCTTGAAATATTTCCAAATAAAGGTTTCTATTCCTTTATTGCACACTTGCTTATCAAGTAAATATGGATATCGATTAATCATCAATTCTTTGTGATGCAAGGCAAGTTTGTAGGATGGTGTCTACTCTCCGGGAAAACCGGGAAACCTGGAATTTTGTCTTACCTTAAAATATCCTGAAAAACTGAAAACTCCAGGAATTAACCCAAACCTCCGGTAATCCGGAGCTCAGTCATCGGAAACGTTGGTTAACCGAAACACTACCGCTGATGTTGCTGTGATTGCAGGAAATGATTTACAGTGTTGCCGAAACCACAAGATATGCTCAGTGGTATGGCTTATCTTGAATATGTGTTGTATATGGCTGGGACACTCAATGATCGTCGCCAATAGCTTACAAACAAGGTTTCGACTCATTGCTTCAATGAGCTCATTGCTTGCGCTTCAATGGCGATTGTGTAAAGTGTAAAGAAAAAAATCACAACTGCAGTGGGTGATTGTAACAGAGGTTTACGGATGATGCTAAACTCGCTTTTCCAATGTGTCACTTTCTGTTTCTACTCACCGTGTAATGCAATCGCTGGATTATACAGCCAAATGGCCCATAGCCCATCTCTTGGGTACGTACGCTTACCTATTTATTCATCTAACAACCTTTTCGACGACGATCCTTGATACCATTACTTTTCCATAGAATACATGGCCTACCTACTTAAGAAATAAAATTACAAATGTCCCAAAACCCTACATTGTGTGATTTTTGTCACATTCAACTGACTACTATAAGATCCCCGTACGTAGAACGGGCACACAGCTAGTTACTTCCTACAACTCATCGAAAGAATAAATAGCTTTGTTGATGAGGTACTGCTTCAATTTAATTTTGATTTTTTTTTTGTTGACACCTCATCTGTTATGCTTTTTGGAATTTTTAGAAGGCACATAATATTGGCTCCTTTTGTTAACAGGATGAGATGATGGAGTTTTTCAACCAGCAGATGCATCTGTCTGGACTGGCACAAGCTGCTGGCAACCCTGTGTTGGCCTGTCAGATCAATCTGGACAAGAACTTTGCCTTCCTGGAGGTAGGGCTTGAGTTGACTTTAAACTTTTTAATCTGCGTGAAGTTAAATAAGCTACCATTATGTTCTATGACACAGTTTGTAAATATTGGTGTTTCTTAAACCTTTTTCCTAGCATTCAACTTTATGAAACAAATATATTTCGCGTTCCACTTAGACATGCAATAATAGGCCTATATCACATGTTAATTATTTATTTTTTTGCAAGCCTTAATAATTTATAATATTTAAGAATTATTTGTTATTTTCAATTTTGTATTATTACTTATATACATTACTTATGGGATATATATAGTTTTAGATTTTTCCACCATCAGTCTAAATTGTGCTTGTTTTACATCAGTCACTCAGTTTTTACTACTTTAAACCAGCATAGAATCTCATCTTCGTTTTTATGTTTAGTTGAATGTACAAGTTTCCGATGAATTAGTTCTGACACACTAGATTGAACATGCCTGTCATATATTTATTTATTTATTTATTTATTTATCGCCAACGGATTTCACCAATTTACAATAATGAAATACAATATAGTGAGTTACTCGTCATGACTAAATATACTAAAACAATGCAAAACTAATGAACAATACAATAAGGATACATGCAAAATCTAAGACAGTAAGAAAAAAACAAACAAAAACTTAAGACCTAGGAGTAACAAGACATAAATAATACAACACATAATTGAATAAATAGTACAAAAAGTCTAAGAAGTATGTACATAACAGAGACAAGTGAGACTAACCTAGGAAATATAACAATAAATATAATAATTTACATTTAAAATGATAAATATAATACTGTGGTAACAAGACAATACAATAAGAAAACAGTACATGTGATGGACTTATGATAGAGCTAGGAACGATGATAAATAAATAATACATTGAAATGGGATACCTAATAATACATAGACTAGACATTTAATACTGATAAGGTGTAATTTGTTAGAACTGTATGCTTGAAGGATGCAATAAACTCATTAAAGAAGTCTAGGTGAGATGCAGCATTGCTTCCAATCCTCAGGAGACGTGATAGTCCAGTATGGTAAGTGTAGTAGGTGGAGTGGAATTTTCTCCTGAAGATAGTTCTAGATCTTGTTCCTCTAGGCGTGACGAAATCAATGCAGCTCATCAGCTCGGAACAGTCGAGAAAACAATTCACAATCTTGTGCAGGGCAATGAGGTCGAAGTGATGACGTCTTTGGTTGAGGGGAGGTAAACCAAAGCGTTTTTCCAAATCATCAACAGGAGTGGCTCGGTTAGTGCAACCGAGTCTTGAGCCCAGTAGCCTCAGGAATCGATCTTGGATGTGCTGTAGTTGGTCTATGTGATTTCGGTGGTATGGGGTCCATATGATGCAAGCATATTCAAGTATGGGACGAACGAGTGACTTATACTACTGGTGTATGCTGGGGGGGGGGGGGGGGGGTGGAAGTCCAGACGGGGATTTTATGGGAAAATTTTACTACCAACCTACTACACAACAAAAAGCAAGTCACCCACTACACGTTAACGTGGAATTGGTCTGCCTTCGACCGACGCTAGAGCAAAAACGATGATATACGAAAGGTATTGCCGAGCGTATCCGATCGGTTACGGCAGCGTCTGAACAGCGCTCGGCCCCTATCCGATCTGTACGCCCGCAGTGAACGTGTTAACCAATCCTTTGGAACTGGTAGACTAGATTTAAATTAAAAATGCAAGTTTATCATACTAAATGTTGGCTGCTAAACATATTCCGTATTATCTTTTTCAGTTCCGTTCTATCGATGAGACAACTCAAGCCATGGCATTTGACGGTATCAACTTCAAGGGACAAAGCTTGAAGATAAGACGACCTCACGACTATCAGCCGACACCAGGAATATCAGACACCTCGGCCGTCAGTGTGCCAGGTTTGTGTTTTATTATTGGAGCACAGTTTGGAGCAATGCACAGACTGTATACATATTTCACCAGGCATATAAACTAAACCAAACACTGTAGGCTATTTACTATGTCAAAAGACAGTGAGTCTGCCTATTGTAAATCAGCTTGCCTTGGACCATCACAAAAATATTGAGAGTTTTGACACATTTCTTTTAAAAGCGTTTGATAATCTTTCATTGAAATCGCCACTGGTATAGACACTTGAAGATTTTAATTTTTAATTTAATTTTTAAATTTTCAATTTTAAGGCTTTCTTAAGTTTGTATAACTTTGTTGTATTTATCAAACCTGCTTTTTTAGCAGTCAATTTAATTTATAATTATTTGAAAATGGAAATGTATCTATATTACATACATTTTAAAAGTATTTAAAACTGCTAATAATCTCTATAAAAATAACACTTATTATTTTATATATATTGTTTTTTTTGTGGGGGGGATTTTGGTCTTCTAAAAAAGCACCTCTGAAATACACAATCAGCTGTTTAATTAATACAACAAAAATCATATGGTTTACTACACTGTATTCTGTTCCAGCTGGAGTCATCAGCACAGTGGTGCCAGATTCTCCTCACAAAATCTTTATTGGAGGTTTACCCAACTATCTCAACGAAGACCAGGTAAGTCGTCTCACCATTGCTGTTGTCTGTTTCTTCATTTAGCTCCGTCTAATGACCTCAGCTCTTTCAAATCTAATGCGCCTGTCATTACTAGGTTCTTTTTTTATCTTTTGCTAGTAGGATAATATTATCATATTTTTATGTTTACTAATACATATTTTCAGTTCTAAGAGTTAAAACATTTTTTTAAGGACTTTTGTTAGGATATCCACCAGGCTTGGTAATAATAGAAGGGAAAAAATTTTCATCTTAGCACAAGAAAAGAAAGCTCAACTCTATACATAGCTATCTTAGGTAAAAAGAAATAGGTGACTGCAGACCTATTGGTTCTAAATCACTAAATCAGCATTTTAAATAGTGCTGGCGGTACACCATTGTACCTGAACACACCTATGTTTTACCTGAAACCTTCCTTGGTTAAACATTCTGTAGTGATTTTTTGTTTATCTATACACAACACATAGCTAAAGAATAGCTAAATAAATAGCTTAAAGTGCCTGTGTATGATGTGCTAGGATAGATTCTTCCCCATTGAGGTAAGTGCTTCCCAACAAAAATTCCTAAACTCAAGACCCCAAGCCAGATATTATATATTCTGAACATTCTGGTAAATAAGAGGTCAAATCTATTAATCTGCAGACAATGATTACATGTTTAATACCTAGAAGTTATCGCATGTTCTAATTATCGGGTAAAACAAATATAATAATAATTAATGCATGAAAGAGCTGAGGGCATCAGGACGATGTAAGCAGGCAGTCGGAGTCCAAGATGTCTGGAACTTATCTTCAGCTCAGTATGGTCAATATCAACATACAAGCGAGGGGGCTCACTTAGATGTCTTGTTTGTTGTCACTCTAGCTCTGCAGCCATTCCTGATAGACGTGGCTTACATTTAACTAGGCTGTAGATTTTTATAGGTTGTTGTACTCGAATCCTCTTGATGGAGACAATTCTTTGGTTAGCTCTTTCAGGTCATAAACTGTTGTATCTGGTAAAGGATTTTGTATTTATCTTCTTTGTAGATTTTCCAGGTATGTCAGTTTCTCTTTTGCGACCATCCAATAGTTAGTATCCTACATATTTAAGAATTAGGTCGATTAAAAGGTTAGAATTTTTGTTCAGTTGTGTGTTGGGTAGTTCTTACAGGGAGCCCCTTGCGCTTACGTTTGGGCAGCATTTTATTGAATGTGGGAGAGTTTGGTATCAGTCGACAGTGGATTCCTTTTCAGCAATTAAGGTGGCCGGTCCCTCTCAAAGCAAAGTTTCATTGCAGATTGGTATTTCTAGGTACTTTTTTCAGTTTGGCACTTATGCTACTTCCCAAAGCATCAGCAGATTTATTGTAGAGATTTTTCTGAAACTTAAAGCATTTTTCAGCATCCCGTTTTTACAGCCAGTGAACTACAATCACTTAATGAGGCATGTATCTGCACTACAGCCTCCAGTCACCTTTTTGATGTTTTTTTTTCAGACTTTTTTTTCTCAGACCTCTATTATGTATTACAGATTGGCTTCAAAAACTTAACAGTCATACCACCAGTGTTTCTAGAAAGAGTCACACATTTTATTTCAGGAAATCTCCAATGCAAAAAGTTTCAGATTTTATTTCAGGCACGAATCGCCAACACAATGTTTCTTTACAGGAAACGGTTGTGAAAATACTTTTGTTTCTTTCAGGTCCACTGAAAATAAATTAATGACAATTTTCAGCTCTGCATCCAAGCCATATAGTTTTGAGTTATCATTCTGAAATAAAAAGTTAGATGTTTTTAGCCATGAATAGATCATTTTAATCATTTTTGTTTTTTTAAAAAAATGCAGGATGTTTACTGATCTTACAAAAAATACAAATATATATGACGAATAGGTTGTTATTATCCTATGTAATATAATATGAATAAGATTTTTACGTTCAATTTAGATCTTCTGGTACATTATTAAAGCACTCTTATTTATAGATTTCAAAACCATTTATGTTTTTATGATGACCAAAACTAATGGACCCCTTAAGGATTATCTTAACCATAAAGAGGATTAAGACGTTTTATCTTGTAAGTTCTCTTCTACATTTAATTTATGTTTTGATTATTGAATACTCTGTCGCCCTTTTTTGGTGACACATTGTCTTGTTTCTGAAAATTTAAATGAAACATGCCATTATTTTTGTTGTGTTGCCCAATTATCTAATAATATAACAGAACAGTGATTCAAAAATAAGAACTGGACCTGTGATATTGCACAGTCAAGCCAGTTTATTTGTAATAAAAGATGATCACTCTAAGGGTGTATTGTTTTTTTTTTAACTTCTGGCAATATTGAAACAGGCTTGTAAATTCTGGTTTACTTAACTAAAGAGTCACCTTATATTGAACACATACGGTAACTCGGTAGACATCCTGTAAATGTAAATTCAATGAGAACCAAACAAAATCATCCACTATTGGCTTGGATCTTTGAGATATAATTTATACTTATGTCCGAAGTTATACAAATCACTGATGCACAGTCTGCTTTCCCCCTTTGTCATAGCCAAGGTATCGTGGGTAATTTGTCTGCTAATCTCCGGCTCTTTAACAATCATGAGTCATCTGTGGAGCGGCGTTCCGTAAAGGCAAGTACGATTTTGTGTAAACGCTCTTTACTACGGGACGTCTGCTTTTGCAGTACAATGTGGTGGAGTTTGCTGGTTGTTGGTTTAGTATTTGAAAGAAATAGTCTTGTCGATCAATAAATAAAAGAATTAAGTTGATTTATCAAACACAAACACAAAAATTGTTATATGTTTTATGTGTTAGGTTAGTAGCGTGTAATAATATGACTAATTTAGCATTTTAAATCAAACATTGAGTCCGTAGTTTAGCTATTTGAAGTTAATGAAATGAAATACAACATATTATCAAACTTGGGTTGTTGTATCTGGAATCTGATGTATCTTCAATCACATTGTAAGCTTGTAGTTTTTTCCAGATATTTTGCCTTGATATTTTGAAGTGGGGCCCTCAAAATTGGTCTTAAATTGATTCTACCCTTGGAAAGGATATCAATGCCAAGAAAATTAAATTCATAGAATTCCTGAAACTATAAGATAACTTTGTTTTGTATACTAACAGAAAATTTTGTATAATTGTTCAGTTCCCTCTTATTACTTTCTAGTAAATAAAACGAGAATAGACTAGCCTACTTTTGATATTGATTATTTAATTAATTCAATCTAATGTTTAGTAAACTAGTTAACCTTTTACCCTCGCATTTACTTAATTTATCAAAGCAACAAACACCAAAAGTATTTTCTTTAAAAATTATAAAATCCAATACCGTCTGTACCCTAAAAGGTTGCATTCGTTACTAAACCAATACCAGTCAATCATCAATATAAAAGGTAAGTGTTATCTTTTTGGCTTTTTGTTGGATATAGGTTTCCTACCCTGCCAAGGTAAGCATTGTACTTTGTACTTTGCCATATTATTTTTTATTACACAACATTCAACAGTCAATAAAAAAATCTTATTCTGCTTAGACATGTTTTCTGTTGCTACTGTGTACTATTTTCAACTGACCTCAATATACCACTCAGGTTCATAAATTTACAATATCTTTTTGCAAAGGACATCTTTATCCGCCCAGAGAAACATTTATTTTCCATTATAATTTACAATTCATTCTGCAAATCTTCCCCCACAATTATAATCTTACATCAAACCTATCTGACAACACTTATATAAGTCCTGCATGTTAAAACATGAACATATTTACTCCTTTGTTTTTAAGATCATTGTGTAAAATGGTAAAACTTTTCAGTAAAAATTCATAAAGTGAGATTTTTTTTTTTAAATTTCATAGTTTTGATTTTCCAATTGGTTGTAAAATCTACTTTAAGTCATTCCTAAATTTGTTAATATAATATTAATAACGCACAATTTATTTTACAATCCTGAACATAAATCACACTGCTCTCTTCTAATGTAAATGATACATTCTACATGTAAACCTATTCTACAATACCTAATCAAGTGACCTAATCAAGACCTAACACACTATTTGTCCTTACACCACCTTTGTTAAGGAATAAAGAAACTAATATGTTGATATTATTGACAAAATCAGTCTACTTTAAATTCCTGTTGTTGATAACAGAGTTTAATCTCAGAAGAGAACTCTACTATACATTATACTACATTGGAAGATACATTTTACCAAATGTCTAAGTGCATATTTCCTTTCTTTAGTTTACCCAAATCAATATCTTTTCTCTACTGATACCTAACGTTAAAAATTCACATTTCTGTGAAAGGAGGGTTCAAAACTCTTGTGATACCCAACACAGGCAGAAGATACGAGTTTCAGTGGTTGATATTGTTGGCTTTCCTTAACAGGTGAAAGAGTTGTTGATGTCATTTGGGTGTCTCCGAGCCTTCAACCTGGTAAAGGACTCTGCAACAGGCCTCAGCAAGGGCTACGCTTTCTGCGAGTATTACGATGTCATCATGACTGATCAGGTAAGCAGGCTACTGAGTAGAAGAAACCAACTACCAATAATTTATACAAGCTTCACTAGATCATTAACATACCATTTATAACAGTGATCTGAAAAATACAGAAATATATTACGTCTAATAACACTTGCAATAATATATTTACACTTATACTGTTGACTTACAAGACGATAAATACATGTAAAAGTTGGTGACGTAATATATTTCTGTATTTTTCAGGTAATTAATTACTCGTACGATGCTAATCAAGAAGTTATTAACAGTGAACTGTGGATCCTGTTCCAGTTTTGGAAATCCTGGAATCGTTCTTGAATTTTATTTTGATAAGGCACGAGACTAACTGTCAAACATGATTTAACTGACATTATACAACTTAAATTATTATATAAGGAATCTTTCCCGCAATTATTGAAAGTCTCTGTTTATCAGATGCCGGATTAAAGCCCCTTTTATGTTGGGTGATGCTCGCATGACGTTCGTTCCGTGACATTCCAAAAAAAGTACTGTGACATTCCAAAAAAAGTACTGTGCCTTCCAGCTCGAAATAACGTCTATCAAGCGGTCGTTTGACAGACATTGGGTGGATATTTCAGATATGTCACTCAACCGCATACGTTCACTGGCCACTAGTGAAGTCAGAAGTCAGTTTACATTCCCCCCCCCCCCAAATTCAGTTCTCAAACGTGGAAGGAAGAAGTGTATGTGGTCAGTTCATCCTTCTAACACTGCTATATTTAACAGTCACTTAACTCTACCATCAATTGAACAAAATGTCATATTGTCCTTCAACCCCTAGTAGACTGAAGTGGTGTATACAAAAAACCCATACCTAACCTACCCCACCAAAAACAAAAAAAAACTACCCTGCATGGGGCTTGCCAGACAATGTGTATACATGGCTCCATATGCTCCAATGCATTTAGACAGTAAGTTGCCCGGCGCACATAATGAAAGTCATGGGTGTCCTGTTTTTGAATACGAGTGCTGAGCTGTCGTCGAGCCTTGTGTATAAAAACTCCCCATCTAACAATGTAATTTATGTGTGTCAAGTTATGTGTCTTACATTAAAGGGCTGTTATGGGTTTACATTACCTGCCATACAATTTCAAATGGTAACTGCCATGTGTTTTATGTTTTGGCTAAATGCCATTGTCAAACTAATTTCCAGTCCAGGAAATACATTACATCCGCTTGATTAGCTTTGCTGATGGTTTCATTTCACACATACATTCAACACACAACATGTTCGACATATAAATAGTTAGTTTTACTGTGCTATGCCTATTGTTCTATTTATAATCCAAGAATATTAATCACACATCTTGCTTCAACAAACTCTATTTCCAAACTAAACCAATGTTAACAAAAACATGTGTACAAAAATCATCTGACAACAAAACATATTTAAACACAAATAAATCATATGATAAAAAGAACAGACATAATACAACATCCCGCCTCAAGATGTCCACATCTTTATGAACCTCAGTACCGCCTCGGTTTCTTGGTGGTCGGTTTCGTAACGGGTTACTGTGTCAGCTCCTGTACGATATCACGTGAGTTGCATGGACGATTAAGGACCATGGATGAACGGTTTGAAAGAATACCATCTCCCCTGTAGTACAGTGCAGGAACTAAGAACTTCCGGTTTCGGCAAATGGTTCTCTTGTCAGTTTCCACAAGGTAGGAACACCTTACCGTGTCGATGTAGATCTGTGATCCATACCATGCTTCCAACTTCTAATTAACTTAAACCACTCGCTCCATGTCGTTAATCAAATTGTATCTTGTACTTATTCTCTCTTTCAAAAAATCCTTGTTTTCCACAGGATTTCCAACCAAAATAGATGAAAGATTGTCTCTTAATTTCCTTCCAAACATAAGTTCAGATGGGGAAAAGCCGGTTTCAAGAGGTGAGGTTCGGTAAGAAAGTAGGGCAAGTTCAAATTTATCCTTGTTGTTACTCATTAGCCCTTTTGCTGCTTTCATAGCTGCTTCAGCTGCCCCATTTCCCTGATGGTGGTAGGTGGGGACTACTTCTGAATGTGGAGAACCCCCACTCCTTTGCAAACATTTTAAATTCCCTTGAGTCAATATGGCGAAACTGGGTTCCACTATCTGAATAAACACGTTGAGGAATTCCAAAACGTGAAAATTTGGTTTTGCAAACCCCCAAGAATATTAATCACACATCTTGCTTAAACAAACTCTATTTCCGAACTAAACCAATGTTTACAGAAACATGTTTACAAAAATCATCTGACAACAAAACATATTTAAACACAAATAAATCATATAATAAAAAGAACAGACAACACCTATCACGGAAAAAAAACCACATTGCCGGTAAGCGAGCAGGAACAGACACAGTAAAACTATTTATTTTCATGTTGTTTGTTGAGTGTAATCCAAGTTATGCAAGTTATTATAATGTGTGTAATGTGTTTTTCTCTACATTTGTGTGTTTTGTAGGCTATTGCTGGTCTCAATGGGATGCAGCTAGGAGACAAGAAGCTGATTGTCCAGAGGGCCAGTGTTGGGGCCAAGAACACAGTGTTGGGTCAGCAGCTACCTGTCACTATACAAGTGCCTGGACTCAACCTAGCAGGCACCTCTGGACCTGCCACAGAGGTAATGTCCCTAGAGTGTCTCTTAAGTGTCCAAATGTCATAACATTCAAAGAACAGTTTTGGCTGAAGCAAATAGACCGTTTAATCTACGGTTGGGAGGTTATTTCACGAAACGTGCACATACCATAGCCGCTTTTGCCTTAATATGTTTTTGACTATGATTTCATTTGACTTTTGGTATGACTCACGGTCGTGGCGCGATCGTCAAAATGACTCACCATCAAGACACGATCGTTGAAATGACTTCGCCTTCTGTGTTCGCGGAAAAATTGTTAACATCTCTCGCAATAGCGGTGTCATTGTCACTCGCAAAGCGGCAACTTTGCAAAAATGTACGTTACAAAAAAATATTATTTTAAAAACAAACTAAAGCGCTTTTTTATCAAAATATCAGGAGTTAATTGGAACCTATTGCCTCTACAAGACACTCAAAGTTAAAATCAAAACATTCTTTATTCGATATAGTGTCACATTACACAAACTTTTATAGCTGTCATAAACTAAACCAACCAAACTAATTATAACAATTTTTTCAGAAGTTAGTAAATTTTGATTAATGTTTCCCTCTTAAATTTTTGGGTCTATCCATATCAAAAAAAATAAAAAATTAGGGGTCTGTGTTGCACCGTTAAAGACGGGTACGGTACAGTATTTTCCTCAGTACATTTTCGGTTCGGTACAGACTATAACAATTAGTTACTTTCTATTCACTGTGTTGGTTAGGAGCACATAAAAAGGTTTATCAGATGTTTGTTTAGGATTTTCATAATTTATTACTAGGGTAATGGGGCAATAAAAAACCCATCAGCAGTCCCAAAACCAAAGTCTTGAGTCAGTAGTTTAGTTCATTAAAGTTTTATCACTTTCATTCCTTTACGACTTCCATGATTTATTTAATTTAATGTTTAAAGAAAAAGTCAGAATAATAATACTGGAAAAGCAAAACAATAGAAGGGTGGGAGGGGTTGGACAATGACCTCGAAACGAGCGGGCCACAGCGAATTGTGATGGCGGGGAGGGGAGGGTGCAACCTTGAAGCTATATTTAGACTAGAGGGTTGGCTTGGGGGGTCAATGTTTTTTGTCAGGTCAATTTGACACATCACTAAAACCCTTACATGGGCAAAAATTTGTGTGTTCCACAAAACAAAAATTGCCGCCGTAGAAGTAACAAAAGAGATAAAAAAATTTAACTTTTGGACCCAGAATTGATATACAGGTTAGGCAAAAGTCTGGAACCCCCCAGTTAACTTTTTAACGCGTTGCAGTAGGAAAACAAAACTCGGCACATATTTACGACATAAGAAATTGCACTTTTTCATCAAAGTTACAACTTTGTTTACATTTGAAAATTTTGACCTGCCCCCAAAATGGGGTATTTTGGGGGCAGGTCAAAGTTTTCAAATGTAAACAACTAGAACTAACATGTGACCCCTCATTTTAAAGGGTTTATCAAGAGAAATTGAATGGCGCAAACCAGAGGTCAATATGGAACCCCTAATAAAAATGGCAGCCATTATAATTTAAGATGAGCAAGCAAGATAAAGTCTGGACACCCCCAGTTAACTTTATAACGTGTGGCAGTGTGGGAAAACCAAACTCGGCACATTAAAATGCACTTTTTCATTTAAGTTAGAACTTGTACCCGGCCCCCAAAATGGGGTATTTTGGGGGCAGCCCCAAATTTTCAAATGTAAACACCTATCATGTGTGACCCCTCATTTTAAAGGGTTTCTCAAGACAAATTAAATGGCACAAACTAGAGGTCAATATCGCACCCCTAATCAAAATTGCAGTCATTTTTGCAGACTTTATCTTGTTTGCTCATCTTAAATAATTCAAATGGCTGCCATTTTCATTAGGGGTGCGATATTGACCTCTAAATTGTGCCATTCAATTTCTCTTGATAAACCCTTTAAAATGAGGGGTCACATGATAGGTGTTTCCATTTGAAAATTTGTGCTGCCCCCAAATTACTTACTTTACTACTAAGTTAGGCCATTATACTAGTCAGCCATTATGAAGTGTTTTTAATGTTATGTTAACATTTTTTGGAATAAACATGTTTGAAGCAACAATTTGACAAGATTTAACACAACTGTTTACGTTTATCCAACTAACCAATGAATACAAACCCTTTAAGAAGCAAAATGATTATGGAGAATAGTCAGACTTGAATTTTGTCGCCGAAATGAGCTTCGCACGGCCGTCACTAGGATCGCTTGCGCAACTCTTCTCTCTCTCTCTCTCTCTCTCTCTCTCTCTCTCTCAGCCGATTCTTTGCCTTGCTCTCTCTCACTGAGTCAGCTGACTTGGCCGCGTGCTCACAATAGTCTACCTAGAGGCCGCCACGGGAACTATGCAAAATTAAAATATTCCCAGACTGAATTTTTAACAAAGGCGTTGCACTTCTTATTGGGTTTGTATTCATTGCTAATAAAATAACTGGGTATTCAATTTTATCTTTTAAAAATAATCAATGCATTCAGTACAAAGACAGCGATAGTTGCCAGCTGCAGCTGTTCACATTCAACAGAGACGAATGAAATACTGGAGGTTATGATGAAGTAAAGGCAAAGAGGAAAAATACCAAAACATAAAAACTTATTTAGTTTAGACTTTATGACACTGGACATTGAGACTTAAAGAGTTTTGGAGGTAGTGAGACAACAGTTACATTATACATACATTATACATTATACATTAACAGTTATATTTCAGTTGCCTTCTCTTGCTAATTAATTTTCCATCCCTAGGTGCTTTGTCTGCTAAACATGGTCACACCAGAGGAGCTGAAGGATGAGGAGGAGTATGAGGATATCCTTGAGGATATTCGGGAAGAGTGCAACAAGTACGGCATAGTCCGGAGTTTGGAGATCCCTCGGCCCATAGAGGGAGTGGATGTTCCTGGCTGCGGCAAGGTACGTCAACTACAGTGTTCTTTTTCCTTTTAGATGAAAATGAAATGGGCAAATGAAATTACAGTTTATCATATCTTGCAGGGGTAGGCCGAAGCCACAAAGCTCTTTATCTGAATATGTTGAAATATTGTACACCCCAGTTGTTTTATTGATAGACCTTAAAGCCTCAAGCACCATATAAACGCCTGTAGTTTGCGAATAAATTCCTCCTTGGAAAAGTGAGTAAAGTGACTCTTTCTTAACAAATTGCCAAGCGTTGTCCTTATTACCTCAGAGAGCTCTTCACAGTCAAAGAGCAGCAGGTGACCAGCTGTTTCCTACCCCATTTCCTAAAAAAGTGTTGCGCCATCATAGAAACTATACGTTTGTTGATAAATCTAATTTAAAGTATTAAAAGTTTAAAGGTTTTTCAGAACACATTTTATAATTTACTTATAATCATAACAACTTGATGTTGATAAATCTAATTTAAAGTATTAAAAGTTTAAAGGTATTTCAGAACACATTTTATAATTTACTTATAATTAGGGATGGACGGGTCCCGAAATTTCGGGAATTTTTCGGGGAAAAAATATTCCCGATTATCGGGACGGGATTACATTTGATTCGGGAATTTTTCGGGACGGGATTTGGTCCGATCGCCGGCGATTTTGCCGCTTCGCGAGTGCCGATGACGCCGCTATTGCGAGCGATAGGTCCGCGAACGCAGGAGACGAAGTCGTTTCGACAATTGCGCCGTGACCACGGAGTCATAACGACGATCGTGCCGTGACCACGGAGTCATACCGACGATCACGCCGTGACCGCGGAGACATACCGGCGATCGCGCCGTGACCTCGGAGTGATACCGACGATCACACCGTGACTGCGGAGTCATACCGACGATCGCGCCATGACCGCGGAGTCATACCGACGATCACGCCGTGACCACGGAGCCATACCGACGATCACGCTGTGACCGCGGAGTCATACCGACGATCACGCCGTGACCAAGGAGTCATACCGACGATCACGCCGTGACCGCGGAGTCGTACTGACGATCACGCCGTGACCGCGCAGTCATACCGACGATCACGCCGTGACTGCGGAGTCATACCGACGATCGCGCCGTGACCGCGGAGTCATACCGACGATCACGCCGTGACCGTGGAGCCATACCGACGATCACGCCGTGACCGCGGAGTCATACCGACGATCACGCCGTGACCACGGAGTCATGCCGACGATCGCGCCGTGACCGCGGAGCCATACCGACGATCACGCTGTGACCGCGAAATCATACTGACGATCACGCCGTGACCGCGCAGTCATACCGACAATCACGCCGTGACCGCGGAGTCATACCGACGATCACGCCGTGACTGCGGAGTCATACCGACGATCGCGCCGTGACCGCGGAGTCATACCGACGATCACGCCGTGACCGTGGAGCCATACCGACGATCACGCCGTGACCGCGGAGTCATACCGACGATCACGCCGTGACCACGGAGCCATACCGACGATCACGCTGTGACCGCGGAGTCATACCGACGATCACGCCGTGACCAAGGAGTCATACCGACGATCACGCCGTGACCGCGGAGTCGTACTGACGATCACGCCGTGACCGCGCAGTCATACCGACGATCACGCCGTGACTGCGGAGTCATACCGACGATCGCGCCGTGACCGCGGAGTCATACCGACGATCACGCCGTGACCGTGGAGCCATACCGACGATCACGCCGTGACCGCGGAGTCATACCGACGATCACGCCGTGACCACGGAGTCATGCCGACGATCACGCCGTGACCGCGGAGTCATACCGCCAATCACGCCGTGACCACGGAGTCATACCGACGATCACGCCGTGACCACGGAGTCATACCGACGATCACGCCATGACCGCGGAGTCATACAGACGATCACGCCGTGACCGCGGAGTCATACCGACAATCACGCCGTGACCGCGGAGTCATACCGACAATCACGCCGTGACCGCGGAGTCATACCGACGATCGCGCTATGACCGTGAGTCATACCGACGATCATGCCGTGACCGCGAGTCATACCGACGATCACCCCGTGACCGCGAGTCCTTTCGACCCCGAGTCACAAGTTTCCATAGGTACCTGAAAAATTGTTACCCATTTTTTGGTTTTTATAGATCAGTGCCACAAACGGTAAAGATTGATTTCGTATGCCTTTTTTGGTAACTGCAATTCTCAAGGCTTTCTTTTTATGCACAGAAAAAAATCCCGTCCCGTCCCGAAAATCGGGAAGGAAATAAAAATCCCGTCCCGTCCCGTCCCGAACTAAAAATTCAATCCCGTCCATCCCTACTTATAATCATAACAACTTGATGTTGATAAATCTAATTTAAAGTATTAAAAGTTTAAAGGTATTTCAGAACACATTTTAATAATTTACTTATAATCATAACAACTTGAAAATCAAAATAAAAACATAATCACATGTAATGAAGAATCATATGACTTTAAATTAAATTCTAACACCATTGCCAACAACGTTGCAGATGTTTTCTGAACCAACCATGTCCGGTAATCACTTCTGTGGTTTTCCTACATCGCCTATCCATCCTCAAATTGTCCGAGGCAACCCGCTTTGAAGATGTATGACCTTACTTACTCTGAAAAGGGATGTTTCAGCCCATCGCGCAATAGAGGAGCTCGCATACTTGCGTTAGAAACCATAGAAAGGTTGTGGACCAAACTGAGTTGCTGCTGAGGCAACATTTGCCGGTTTATCTGCGACTTTGTAACCTTCAATGCCTGAGTGTCCAAAAAGCACCAAGCAAAGCATATTAGATCATTCCTCCTACAATACCCAATTCCGACACTCGCCAAGTTCTTATTGCAAGTTTTATTTGAGAGAAAATGTGTTATAAAACATACCTTGTCTGCTTAAATTCTCTATAAAAAGTTTTAGATTTGAGTTTTGTACATATCAAAACTGTTTTAATTGTTTTGGTAGTTTTTTTAGTTCATACTTTGCTTTGTAAATAGTTTTTTTTAACTTCTTGTTTGATATAATATTATATAGGTCAGACTTTTCAAAATGGAAATCAACAGGTGGTAATAAGTATTTGGTAATATTTTTCAGGTGTTTGTCGAGTTTAATTCTATGACTGACTGTCAGAAAGCACAGCAATCTTTGACTGGAAGAAAGTTCAACAACCGAGTAGTTGTGACTTCCTACTTCGACCCTGACAAGTACCACCGTCGGGAATTTTAAACAAGTACAATGTCAACTGTAAAAGGCATTATTGTCTTTCTTTGCCTACCAAAGTGTCCGCTTTCATACATCTTGTTTAAGACGCTTTGTATTCTGTTGAAATTTCATTCAATAACAGAACAGTTTTAACTTAGTTACAGTACTAATGTATATAATGTTAAGACTTGTATTATGAATTGATTTTCGTTAGAGTAGATTACTTTTATAAGACTTTCAGTATAGTGACACCCATTGAAACTGGAAAATATATGTGAATACCATTCAATGTTTGTTCTTTAATCCTATGTTTATGCAATAGTTTTATCATATAAAATGCTAGCCGCCATACCCGTGCTTCGAAACAGGAAGAGAACCCTAAAGAGAATAATAATGTTCTATAGATCTGCTGTATGAAAAGTTATTAACTCATAAATAAATGTCCACAATTATGATGAAGCACCAACAAAATAATTTTCAAACATGTGGTTTAAAAATGATAAAATTTTTAATAATGTTTAAAATGTTTGCAATTATATACGCAATTTATAATTGTTTTAAAATTTGGCAATTCTAACATTAATTGTATTTATAAGAATTATACTGACCTATTACCCTAATTTTTAAATTTAGGTTAGGGCCAAGTTTTTGTTTTTGTGACTAGAGCCAAGATCTGTGGAAATAATAGAGTCTGATTAAATCACCAAGTAATTATTTATTTTTCATTCACGTTAACCAGCCTATAATAACGATTATCCATTATACAATAATAAATTCTTAGGCTAGAGAATATATTGTACATATACAATATATTGTACATTGTAACATATTGTACATGCACATATACAATATGGAAAGCGCTCTATACTCAGGGAAGAAAAGGAGGATCTTCGTTCTGAAATACAAAATAAATTGTCTGAGTTACCTATTGGTATACTACATTAACTAAAATACTGAATAAGGTAAATACAATTGTTTAACACGAGGCAGTAGGTTATGATTGGCAAGTTATTGAAAATACTATGATTGTCTTGCAGATAAACTAAATCTTTGTCGTGTTCTGTTTAACATTTAATACTTCTGGTTGATATAAATGATATTTTACAATGGATGTGCTCGGATAATTATAATTGCAACTTTTTACAATAGATCTACTTACATTTTCTAACGGCCTCCTCTATTTCCGCTCTCCACTTAAAAAAAAAAAACTATGTCGAGATTGATCTGTACAACAAGGGCTACCAACCTACCAACTTAACGCAATAGATTAGCAACAATAATTAGTTCAATGATTATAACTGAATTAAATGTTTCCTACTGTAACAACTCGGTATAGAATAACATAGCAACTTTGCAAGCTGTCAGGGGAGAACCCTAGGAGAGTATTGAAATAAAAAGTGACTAGCCTATGCCCCTTGGCTCTTTCCTGAAAAAAAAACCAGCTCAATAATTGTTTTTGATTTGATTAATTATTGGTCAAGTATTTTTCACGTTATTACTTTCACATTTAAAAATATTAGCAGAGTATCCGTCCTTCGTACAGGGTGGGTGTATAAGTTTAAAATTCTTATTGGAGTGTTATACTCGTGCTTAACGTTTGCAATGGGGGAGGACACGGTTTGATAAAATTTGTTTCTTTAAATTGAGAGACCTTGGAGGCTAGTGGCCATCTTGGATGATTTCAAACCGCTGCTGAAGAGTCAATTATCATCCAAAAATAGTTTTTCAAACACCAACGTGATAATAATTTTAATATCTAGTATATTATGAGATTAGAAATTTTCGTTGTTGTTTCCAAGGGACTCCATGAAAGCCAACGGCCATCTTGGATTTGCTCGCCATAAGAGCAATGTTAAATTTGTAATTTTCAAACATCCGCTGAAGAGCTATTTACCATATCAAAATATTTTTTCAAACACCAACGTGATTGTAATTTAAATAACTAGTAGGCTTATACTGTGAGAATAAAAAATGTCTTTGTAGCTTTTTAATTGTTTTATGAGTTAGAACATCTAGGCTCCAAGGACTCTTAGCGGTATGCTATAGTAGTAACACATCTGCAATAGTCATTATGTCACACCTAAACAATAGAAAAAGTAAACTATCGAACGTTTGCATAATATTACAAATTATTTATTAAGCTAAAAACATAAATACCGGGATTCCACAAATTCTTGGCCTGATTTAATAACATTGCTGTATGAAAGCCATTAGAGCCACACTCTTACATGCCTTGTTTTGAAGGAAATTTAATAAAGTTTTATCTAATTAAGTTGGTAATACCTAACACGATTGACAATAATACAGTAATGATTCAATACAACAATAAATCAGAAATGGTTAGTTAACAAGATAAATCGCATTGTGTTTTGTTGTTTCATGAAACCCAATCCTCTATTCAACGACCTTCCATATTTAAGTTGGAAGGTTAACTGACACGATTCTAGAGTATGGGGGAGTGAAAATCCCATGATAAAATGAATGGGACAGTCCAGAACTAAATGTTTGGCGTAGTATAATGCATGATGGAATCATTGGACCATCATCGAACCAGCTGATTTACTGTATGATGTTGCCAACCTATTTCCAAACATACACGGATTACGTGCATAATAAAACCCCGCTGTTTTGTGTTGTTTGGTTGGAATAGTGGTGTGCGCCTAAGTATAAACCCTGCACTATAATCAGTGCAAGGAAGCCAACTTTGCTGGGCGACTGTAGGAAAAAGTAAGTAAATGCAGCAATTAGCTACTTTGCTTGCTATAATCAATGAAAGGAAGCACACTTTGTCAGGTAACAGTATGAAAAATATAAATATGTATCTTGCCTTACTTAATGCAAAACAATTATTATAAAAAAATGAAATAATTTTAATTAGAATTTATATTACATTTCTTGCATTCCAATATTCATCTAACGAATACACAGACAATGAAAGGAGATAATCCTTCAGTTTTTTTTAATACATTCACTGCTAATGATACATAATCATGTATGTGGAGTGCTAATTTATCTTGAATTTAATAAATTGCAAATGAAAATATATAACTACATACATGATACCTGCTGACGACTCACTTGTGCGTCATTAGCACTGAATGTGTTGAATACATTTAAATTATTTTATCTAATATAATTTTAGGTAATACTAGAGCTCGCCCCGTGGTCGAAAACTTGACCGAAAGCATGGCCGCATTTAACTGAGTGAAAATTTTACGTACGTTTTCAGGAAAAGCACTTTTAACGTTTTTTGTTCCGTTTTTTGAAACCTATTACTATTTTTTATTTCATTAACATTTGAAGTTTTATAAAATGTCCATGGTAACGCAATATCTTTGTTGATTTTTTATTTATAGAGCATCTTTGATGGAAAAACACAAAATTTTGTCACGACCAACACGGACATAAAACTGAATATTAAAAATAGTTAATATTATTTTCATAACTATGTTTTGCTATAAATTCATTTACTTTTAGGGCCATTATACAATAAACAGCTCACTGAGCTTTTGGTATATTTGGTCTTTCTAGAAAAAAAGAAAAAAACTCAAAAATTGAAAAAAGCCAATAAAATTATTTAAAGTTTGTATAACTCCGAAAAAACTTACTTGAGACCCAAAAAATCTTTATGTTTATATAGAGGTGTGCTTTTTTTGTGTATACACATTGAAATATGATGATATTTTAATTTTTGAAATTTTTATGATAGAAATCATAAATGTGATAGTCAGGGACAAGCGGTACGGTCGAGAATTGTCTGGAATAATCTAAATCTTTCTAAACAACCCTTCAATTATACTGTTAGTTATTGACTAAATAATAAACGATTCAAGATTAAATGGAAAACTTCTGCTTAGTTTTGATTTCAAAACATAAATTAAAGATTTATTCTACACTTTTTTTGTAAATTTACTAACATTTGAATTTACTTACAATTTACTAACATTTTTATATTCGAGATTTATTGTAGTGTTTAGTCAATATTTTGTATGAAGTGGAATATCCTCAACGGCCACTCTTAGAAAACAACCTGAGAATAAAGATAAAATAGGTCCGTACAGGTATTTGTTCATTAAGTAAGTACTATGACAAGTTCCAGTGGGCGGAAAAACAATACTGTCTAGAGGAGATATTAACCAGGTACTGGCTGTTGTTAGAATAAAAAAAGGTTAAAATTATATAGCCTATACAGTAGACTCTTGATAATTCGAAATTGGTGGGCCAAGCATATAAATTTGAATTATCAAGAGTTCGATTTATCGGGAGAAAAATAAACCATTCGAATTACAGAGAGTTCATTTGTTTAATACATACAAAGGTACAGCACGTTAGAATAAAACATCATACCGTATTTTAGTACACTTTTAAACAATCGACGGCTTATTTTTCAGTTACTGTAGTTGCAAAGAAATCTGTTATTTAGTGCTATATATTTCGCCAATAGCTGAACTATCAGCTGTCGACAACTACGTTTGTGCTCAAGGAGATGTCGCGCAATCTAGATATCGGATTGCCAACTTAGAAAAACAAGCCAGCGAACTAACTCAGACTACTGCTCTACTAAACAAACATCAAAACGTCCAACACTAGCCTACCATGGGAACAGGATGTACTATACTGTATAGTTTCCTGTTATAACAGGAAGAGATCACTTCGAATTATAGAGTGTTTTGCCGACTAAACTTCGAATTACTGCGTGACTTTGATTTATAGTGTGTTTTTTCGACGAAACTTCGAATTACTGAGTTACTTCGAATTATAGAGTGTTTTTCCGACGAAACTTCGAATTACTGCGTGTTACAAATTGACCTGCCCTCTATTTGGAATTTGAAATACCGAGTGTATCAAAATGCATGGTAAAAATTTGAAATATTGAGAGATTCTCTAGGGACTGAGCCTTCATTTTGAATTATCGAAAGTTTTGAATTATCAAGTGTTTGAATTACCAAGAGTGGACTGTATTATTTCACGGCACCATCCATATATACAGTAAAACCTAGAGGTAGTTTCCGTTTCTTAAAACTAACCAAAAATATGCATATCGAAGATGCTGATTGGTTACGATAACTGGTAATGGAACCCTCCACATAAACTTACACCAGGCTAATAGTAGTTTTTTCAATTTTGATCAGAAACAAATCGAGGGTTAATTTTGGTCAATGGTATGCCTTTACATTACTCTAATTGTGTTAAACCTTATTATTATATATCAAAAGGAGCATTACCTTAGAAATGACAGCTTAAGTGGGTTGGAGTGCTAATTTAGTAGTTTTGACAATGTCAAATATT